CTGTTTTGTAATGATTAGTCCATGCCTGTGATAGTTGTAATGGAGTGCTCTCTTTGTAGTCTTGAATGCCTTTGCTTTTGGTGCCTATTTCTTAACATGTTTTGGCCATGTTCCATGCATGTTCCAGCCCTGTTTTGGCCTCCCATAGGACTGTCCTAAGTCCTCTTGGCCCTTTGGGGTTCGTTTGATGTGGCTATGGTTTAAACCCTTTGGTTGGTCTCAAGCTTTGGGCCCCTTTGCATGCTATGTTCCACTTGTGTGTTTGGATTTGGCACTCCTTCTATCATGATTTCAGAGCTCAGCATATTTGTAAAGTGCCCATGTTTGTCTCTTTTAAGTATGCTTAGAATTGCCTCCTTTATGCCTTAGGTGATGGGCCTTGGTGCATGCATGCTTGTATGTGTCATTCATGTTTTTGTTACATCATTATTGGCCACTGTTATGGACAAGGCTAAAGTCTATCCACCCATAGTGTAAGACCATGGATCATGCATTTGTATATTGTTGCATGCTCATTACATTGTATGATTGTTGCATCCTTGTAGTTAATGTATTGTTGCATGCCTATCACTTTACATAGTTGCTTATTTAGGTTGCATTGTAGTGTTGTATGCTTATCATATTGCCATGTTGTTTGCATGATAAGTTGCATTGCACGGTGTTTGGCATACTCATGTTTCATTATATTAGTTGCATATGTTGCATTGCATCAATTACATGTTTTATTGCATCAATTACATGTTTTTTGCATTATATTTGCCATATATGCATCACATTTTTGTTTGGTTTGGGGTGTCAAACCAAACATGAGAAATGAGATGTGTTCGTACTTAAAGTGACGAAACATATCCCACTCATCGGTCACCGACGCCCTTGATCTCAACATGATAGGGCGTGAAGCATCCATTTGTTTTGTTGCATGCATTTATATCGATTTGTAAACTTGGTACCTTTGGCCATTATGCGTCAAAATGCGTGATTGGTGGCCCGAGTACCGAGGGCCATACTCCCTTGAGATCATAACATGATAGGAAGGGTGGCTATGCACACAGTGTCTTGAAAATTTCATGCCATGCACTGTCTGTCCTCTGTTGCAGCAAAACCAGTATTTTGCAGGAAGAAATGGACGACCGTCCACTTTTGCTGCCGACCGACTATCAATGTCAAGCCGGTGATCCAATCTTTGGCCGATGGCCACATTTCCATGGCCGGTAATGTTCTATCTTGGCCGGTGGCATCCCAAAGTGTGCAAGGAGTGTTTCAGAAGCATCACAAATGTTTTCATGGTTCTCAGAGGTGCAGAACAGTGTAACACAGAGGCAACAGTGGCATGGCGACGGGTTTCCGAGCGAGGCGAATCGAGCATGCATCATCCAAGCATTCCGAGGCGGAGCTGCGGCGGCCTCTTTACTGCTTTAGTTGACTAGTTAATTTGTTAATTAGTTAAGTGGTTGTGTAATATTTAATTAGCTTGTTAGTTAATTAAATTTATATTATTCTTTCGGACCCTCCGAGCGAGGGCACAATTGTAATAAGTGTGCGTGTGTGTGATGTATGTCTTTCAACCCTACGTCTTTCTCTCTTTTATTTACCAGCTTATGATGGTTAGATTAGGACATGTTTCAACTAGCATATTTATGCTTACATGTTTGCATCATTCATTTGTATTGAATGCACCGGGCTCGGCGCATCATACTAACTGCATTATATTTCAATTCCGAGTTGAATACGTGTATCAGTTGTTGCATTTCGTATGCCATTTTAGAATAGCCAACTCTATCTTAGTTGCATCTTTGCATGTGTTGCATTAGCCATCTTAACATGAACTAGGATCATGCATTGATTACTAACTAGTTTCTGTTTTGGCTTGGAGTACTCAGTAAGTATTTATGCTTTAGCATCCTTGCATGTGTGTGAGTGACAGTTGTTGCATTTCGTATGCCATTTTAGAATAGCCGACCCTATCTTAGTTGCATCTTTGCATGTGTTGCATTAGCCATCTTAACATGAACTAGGATCATGCATTGATTACTAACTAGTTTTTGTTTTGGCTTGGAGTACTCAGTAAGTATTTATGCTTTAGCATCCTTGCATGTGTGTGAGTGACTGCCATGATAGCATGCTTACCATGAGGCTATGTGCTTATGTGATATACCTACCTGAATGCCTGTGGGTGAAGGTTGGGTTGCTTGAGTTGGGATAATTCGTCGAAACCCGTGTTTTAGCCTACTTGCGAGTAGCAAACTTCAATCTATTTTCAAAACAAACGGATATGTGATGCTTTGCTCCAACTTAGGCAATCCAGTCTATACTTGTATGCTGTGCGCATCACATAGTAAATCTAGGCTAATAACCGGAATAAAAGCACATAATATTTTCAAAACTCGATATCATTGTTAGTAGAGGCCGATCTTTGATCGGGTGAGCGGGGGTGCTCACGAAGTGACCTTCTCTAATCATACCCAAGTTCCCAAACCGAGGCAACTTTGGTGATGACGGACACGTGGCCTTAGGCAAACGAGTTAGGGTTTCCTAAATTTTCCAAAATAAAATATTTAGGTGGCGACTTTGTATTTGACAAAACAGTCCATGTTTGGCACTTCTTTAAAAAAAAATCTGTTTTCAAAAACGATTTGCCAGATTTGGACTCTTTGATGATTCATCGGTCTTGTATTGCACTCTGTGAGATTAGATATAGGACCGTGACATTTGAGTCTTGAACTGTAGTGAGCCCATATGAACAAAACGGGATTTTCCTCCCGGGACGTTCGGGGACGTCTACAATAATTTTCTCAAAAGAGTTTTTGGAAAACTCTAACCTAGCATAGTGATTGTGGTTTTGAGACAACTTCATATATATACAGTCACAAAATGGTTTGAATAAATTCAACGATATTTTTCTGTTACAAAAAAAGTTTAAAAAAAACGATGTCGTCTTACTCTTTTGATGTAACATATCTCTTTTCATTCATTTTTTCATCTTCCTGTCTCTCTGTCTCTATCTCTGCCTCTTTTCTTTATCTCTTTCACTCATCACTTTTCTTTCTTTGTCTGTCTGTTTCTCTCTCTCTTTTTCCCTCTGTGTCTCTCACCTATCTCTCTTATCTGTCTTCTCTCTCTGTTTCTCTCGCTCATCTCTTTTCTCTCTATTTCTCTCATTTCTTTTTTTTTTCTCTCTCTCTTATTTTTCTAACTCTCTCTATCTCTCTCGTCATATCTCTTCTCTCTCTATCTCTCTTTTTTTCTGTGTCTCTCTCTCGCTCATATCTTTTCGCTCTATTTCTCTCTATTTTTGTCTATCTCTCGGTCATCTCTTGTTTCTCTCTCTTTTTTTATCTCTCCCTCTATCTGTCTCTCTTTCTCTCTCTATCTCTTTTTCTGTCTATCTCTCTCTCTCTGTCTCTCTCTTACTCATCATTCTTCTCTTTCTGTCTGTGTGTGTATTTCTCTATTTCTCCCCCACTATCTTCGCCTTGCTCACTCTCTCCCTCCCTCTCATCTTCTCTATTTATCGAGCTCTTTCTCGATTTATTGATCCACTATAAGAAAATAAACTTTTAGCAACCACTTTGTCTCTCTCTCACTCATCACTTTGTCTTTGTTTCTCTCTCTATCTCTCTTCTTTATCTGTCTCTCACAAAATTAAAATATTAAAATATTTAAAATATTTAACTATGACCACCACCACTATTGCCACTACTACTACCATTACCTCTCATCCACCATTGCCACTCCATCTTCTCTACCACTACCACAACTTTACCACTAATCTCCTTCGCTATCACCACCACGACCATCACCTCCTGTCTACCACTTTCACTATCGCTACCTTTCCTTTATCACAAAAAATTAGTTCCTGATTTTTAGTAACCAAAAAAAAAAAAGAGCCACGGAAAAATATTTTTTATTAAAATATTGCCCCTACTTCTTCAAAATAAAAAAATAATAATTTTTTTTCATTAAAATAAAAATGAAACAAATAAATTTTCAACCTTAGTAATTAAAAAAAATGGAAAATAAAAAAATTAATTAACTACAAAAAAATAAATTTATTTTAACCAAAAAAATTTCATTTTCCCACTCTTTAAATCCTCCATTTCTTTTCCCCCTTTTGTTTCTCACGATCTCAAATCATCAATGTCCAATCCCTTAAACAATAAATTCCCAATTTCAAAAATTCCCCAAAAATTACCCTACTTCTACCAAATAAAATAATAATAATCAGCTTGCTTGTTTTCATTTTTCAGAAAACACTTTTCAAAAAATTATACATTCTTATTTTCCGTATTTTTTTTCTTTTACTGAATTTTTTTAATATTTTAAACAATTTTTTTACTTTTTAGACACACATAACATAAATACACCTAAAAAGTAAAAAAAATCTTTTAAAAATTCACTAAATACCAAAAATACAAAAAAAATAAAAGAATTCAATACATTTTTTGTATTTTTATGTATTTATTAATTTTTTTAAATATTTTTTCACAATTTTTTTACTATTTAGACACATCTAACTAAGGTGCATCTAAAAAAGTAAAAAAAATATTTAAAATTTTAAAAATATTCACTAAAAACAAAAGAATACAAAAACCAAAAAATTCAATTTTCAAAAAACTTAATTTAGAAAACTCAAACCAAACACACTAAATTTTTTTTTTCATTAAAACAAAAATTACCCCTACATTTACCAAATCCCCCTCTTCTTTTACTTTTTCTTTTTCGTTTTCCCACTCTTTTTAATTCCCTCCCTTTCTTTTCCCTCCTTTTGTTTTTCTTTTCTCCCTTTTGTTTCTCACTCACGATCCCCAATCCCCAACCCCTTTGACAAAAATATCCCCAATTTCAAAAAGAAAAATGAGTGGGAGCACTAATTAGTGTCACCACTAATGATGTGGCAGTGGGTGCCACAATGTTGTTATGTTTATTTTTTATTTTATTTTTTTTAAAAAGTGGATGCCACATTATTAGTGATTGCTTTAGAGCACCATTTTAGTGGCCTCTAGCATTGCCTTTTCAAAAATTCCCAAAATACTCTCTCTCTCTCTCTCTCTCGACTGCAAGCAGTGGCAAGGGGGGACGACGACGGTCAATGAGGTAGAGGTCATCCAAATGGTTGGAGAAAGTATAGAAACTGTTGGTGCTGGTTTGGAGGGGGATCTAGTGGCAATAAGATGCCAACACTGGAGGAGTATGGCACTAATTTGACAAAAATGACAGAAGAGGTAGTTTGACATTACATTTATATGTTATTCGTATGAATGAATTTTCTCTTATTCGTGAGTAGCTTAGTTAGCCAATTCTCTTGCATTGTTAGGGTAAACTGGATCCAGTTGTTGGAAGGCAGCCGCAAATAGAACGTGTGATTCAAATTTTGGGTCGACGGACGAAAAATAACCCCTGACTTATAGGAGAGCCTGGTGTGGGGAAAACCGTTGTTGCAGAAGGCCTCGCACAACGAATTGCAAATGGTGATGTTCTAGAAACAATTGAGGGAAAGAAGGTGAGTGGGCGTTTATATTGATTTTAAGACAAAGAGACAGAAGTAGTTCATTAAATTGCAAATAGTACCGTTATTATCTTTAATTAGAGTTGAAAAAACTTTATGTTGAAAGTACCCATTTGCGTTGTATAGTCTGTTCCTTAAACAAATGGATCTTTTATTGTGAGAGACAGAGAGCATTATTCATAAGCTTCAATGCATCATGTTATGGTGCTTTCTCCTTTCTCCCTTCCTTGCCACTTCGGTACACTGGCACAAAACAGAGGCCTAGTCTGTGCATATTCTGATGGATACTATATTCGTTCTCTCTACCCTGCACAAACATATGCTTGCATCATCCTGCATGTTAATGTACACTAAATCTAACCCACTAAACCTAACCCACTACTACCTACCACACACACTCACCTCCTCACCTAACCTACCACTACCACCTCCACTTCATCCCCTACCACTTCACCTACTACCTTTTTCTCTTCTATATATTTGATCATTGTAAACATCAATATACACAACAATCTATCAATAAATCAATAATACATGCATTTTCACACTGCAATTGTATGTGTGCTTTAATCAATGCATGTTGCAATGCATTATACCATCCCTTGCATCTGTACCTTCACATTACATAGCATAATATGCAGTAGAATGTGTTCAGTTATTTTGATCAGCAGGTGGGCTTAGCCAAGTCAAATTCATTAAATTGGTTGTATATATTAAACTATGCTATACGGTAATTCAATCCTTTTTCTTCTTCTTTTCATATATTAAACTATTTTGAAGAGTCGTTCTGTGAAGCAAAGATTTTGTATTTGGTTTATTTTATGTTCATTGTGTCACAGATTCTTGTGTTTGCTGTTAATAAATTTTTGTGAATTGATTATTGTGCATGTTGTCTTTTCATTACCATGTCAGGTCATTGGCTTCCTTTTTATGTTTTCTATGTACCCGGTTGGCAAATGCTTGGTGCCTTTCTTTTTATAACATTGACTAGTAAAATAATAAAAAAAAGTAATTACATCATTAGGTTCTTATGAATTCCGAATAAGTGTATTTGATCTATAGTTGAATTCTATCTTTATTTGATCATTATTTCCTTATGAATTCTGGAGAACTTTGAAGGTCAACTGTTTTATAGATCAAATTACTTTGAAGATCAAATCCTTAGTTTCTTTCTTTTTGTGTGCGTGTGCGCTTGGAGAATTGCTTAATTACTATCATCATTTGAAACTTTTCCATGACTTTCTTTTTAGGCAAGATTTCATGGTATTGTGTTGTATGTAATTATAGTCAGTTATATACCTATTGGAGACTCACCGGAACATATGTATGACATTACATTACAATTTACATGCTTTGTGTTTAGCTACTTCAAACCTTTTTTTTCTTTTTCCTTGCGAATTTGATTATGTTTTTGTGAACACTTGCCTGGTGAGTTTTCATTTTTGTACTCTCTTTTTTTCCTTCTTGCACTGTATCCTTGTGACTCATTTACTCCAATTATTGCGTTTAGGGCCCCATTCTGATTTTTTTAGACCAACTTCAAGGTGCACAGCTTGTGTTGCAATTATTAGAAACAATCAACTTATTGTTGCCAACGCTGTTGATTCTATCAAAATCTCTTATTTTAACATAAATAATATCAAATAAAATTTTTTTATAAATTAAAACTTAACAAATAACTATAAATATTAATACTCATAATTTTTATTTAAAATTAAAAAATAATAAATGGTGTTACTTGTAAACAATGAAGAGAAGACACCAAAATTATGGTGTGGTCCCAAATCAGTATTGTGTGATCCCAATTTGATTAATCACAAATCGGTAAATTGCAAAGCAACAAAAAGAGATGACAAAGAAAATACGGAGACACTTAACAAGTATTGTGAATAAATAAAATAAAATAAATTATATACTTATAGGATTTTAGAGATCCTGCCGACTGCTGCTAAAAGCCTTGCCCAACAAATTTTTTTTTTTCAAGAGTGATCCTCGCTCAACAAGTTAATAATTTAAAAAAAAAATAGAAAAGTCAGAGACTTTGGATATGTTTTGTTTGGTTTTGGAAGAGTAATTTTTAAAAATTGTTTTGGGGAAACAATTTAGAATTTTTTTTTAGTTTGTTTGGTTGTGTATTTAAAAGTAGTTTTGGTGTTTGGAAGTTTGGAATGATTTGATATTTTGTTATAATTGAGTATATATGTGTGAGAAAAAAAAATGATTGAGAATGAGAGAAAAGAGAGAAAAAGTGATTGATTATAAGTAAGAAAGAGAAAGTGATTTTGAAAATTATTTTAAAAAATTTACAAACTAAACAAATTTTTAAATTTTTTTTTTCCAAATTCACTTTAGAAATCCAAACCAAAAATACCCTTTAGAAAGAAAATTACTTTGAAGCTCTAAAAATATAGTTCTAAACTGACATTAAATTATTTTTTTCTTCTTTTTGTTTTTGTCTTTTTTTGCCTTTTTTTTTTTTTTTTTTTTTTTTTAAGAATTGTCAGCTCAATAAAATTACTATTAAAACAGTTCTACTATAACTCTCAATTACTGCCGCTTTAGAAATTGTTTGTGTTTGGTGTTTGTGATTGACCCTTTCACGTGGTTGGTCTGTGTCAGTATTTATGTTTGGTTGGGACTGGGTGTCAGTATTTAGCTAAGTCTCAAAATAAATAAATAAAATAATAAAACAAGACAAAACAAAAAAAATAAAAGGTCAGGACATAGCGTTATGTCAATGTTTGGTTGTGAACTGGGTGCGTCACATTCTAGTTAAGACCCAAATAAATAAATTGAAAAGATTTGAAAGACACGTGACCTCCTAGTCCTTGTGTCTCTGCCATTGTCTACGACCATGCCCTTTTTTCTTCACAATGTGGAACCAATATAATAACACTAATAACAACAAGGACAAATTATAAACACTCTTCCTGTGATTTAGTAAAAATATAAATTTTTTCTTAAAGTTTAAAAAATTACATTTCACCTTCTGAGATTTATATTTTCATAATAAATTGTTCTCTGAAATTTTTATTTTCATACAGATTCTTCCATAATTTCTCCTGATTTGTTATAAAAATTTGATCTTTAGAGGATAATTTATAATTTTTCAAACCTTAGGGAGAATCTGTATTTTTATCAAATCTCGAGAGAAGTGTTTGTAATTTGCCCTAACAACAAATACGTTCATATTACAAATATATAGCCAAGTAAAATTGATGTTAGCTTCAAGTGAATTATGTAAGATAGAAATACAAAAATAGAAATTGAATCTTAAAAAGAAACCTTTTATGTCTCGTAAGCATACTCAAATATATTCATTACGGACAAATCAAAATGCACGAGCTTTGTTCAAATTAAAAATAAGAAAATAAAAATCAAAGGATAACAAACAAATATAAAAAAAGATTTAGGATTCAAAGAACATTTTAGACGAACAAAATAAGTGACAATAATAATAATAATAATAAAAAACATTAAGTAATACACGTATTGGTGTAATGGTACAATTCAAGTTTTTGTTGCTTCTACAATACAAAATAAAGTGGTAAATTAATTGTATTTGATATTATGAGAAAAATAAAAATGACATATTAACTGAGATACACATTATACTATACGCACACCTTAAGGTTAGATAGTGAAAATAAATCTAAATGGAAAATGTAATGATAAATTGTTTTGTATAAAAATTATGGAACGAAAGTCTCAGAATATATAGAGAAAAAAATTTATTTTTAAAAAATCAAATTTCAAAAAGGCAACAGTTATATTCATATTCAACAGTTAATACCAATTAATACTATTTTGTTTAGATAGGTGAAAATTAATACTAATTTTAAACGTCTTTCAAATTTTTTTAATCGTCTTCTCATCAATCAAAAACAAAAAAACTTAATTATTAGATAACGATGTTAAAATTTTGAAATATAATTTCTAAATCTAAGTTGAACACTGCATATGAATGAGCAAAGATGTATGTGTATTGTAAGTTATCAGTATTTGTCTTAAATAATTAGATAATTTGATTAAGAATGATTTATTCTATAAATTGCTAAAAAAAGAAACTAAAAACCTAAAATAAGTAGGAATGGAAGTTATAAAAAAAATAATTCTAATTATTTAATTTTTTTTATTCATTTGGAAATAAAAATAAAGAGGAATGGAAGTTATAAAAAAAAATTATTTAAAAAAATTAAATATAAGTATGTTGTCGTCGAATTAAGAAAAATAGATAGATTAATTATGTCGAGCTTTGATTTTTCTTTAATATCTATTTTAAAATTGTTTAAACATATTATATATATGTATATAAAGTTTAAATTAATTATAAATTTTTCCTAACAAAAAACTTCATGTTAAATAGGAAACTCAATATAAATTAATAATAACATATAAATAAGATAGACAAAAAAAATTAAAAATATTTTTAATTTTAATATAAAAATTGAATACTTGAACAAAAGTGAAAAAGTAGAAGAAAATTAATTCATAAAGTATTTTTTAGTACATATAGTTATTTTTAATTTTATTTATGAGTAATTTAGATTAAGTAGAAATCTTTTAAATATTAAATTTTAGAAATAATTTACGTGGAACTTTTTAAAAAAAAAGAAAAAAGAAAGGGAGATATGTCACATAGGAGAGAAAATTTTTGATGGTAAACACTACTTATATATAATTAAAATTGAGTAAATAAAATTTTAAATAATTAAATAATTATGTAAAATTATTTTAAATGTCACATAGGAGAGAGATATGTCACATAGGAGAGAGATATGTCATCTTATTTTAAATAATTAAAATTAAAGGATAATTTTTTAATATTTTTTAAAGTTGAGCAAGTAAAATTTTAAACGTTTCTATTTGTTTGAATTTTAAAATTAGTTTTTCCATTTTTTTTAAAATTAAAAATTAGTTTGATAAAAATA